GTGGGGATGGGGATAGGGATGTCAGTGTGGGGTTGGGGTGTCAGTGTGGGGATGGGGGTGTCAGTGTGGGGATGGGGATGGGGATGGGGATGTCAGTGTAGGGATGGGGTGTCAGTGTGGGGATGGGGGTGTCAGTGTGGGGATGGGGGTGTCAGTGTGGGGATGGGGATGGGGATGGGGATGTCAGTGTAGGAATGGGGTGTCAGTGTGGGGATGGGGGTGTCAGTGTGGGGTTGGGGGTGTCAGTGTGGGGATGGAGATGGGGATGTCAGTGTGGGGATGGGGGTGTCAGTGTGGGGATGGGGTGTCAGTGTGGGGATGGGGGTGTCAGTGTGGGGATGGGGACGGGGATGTCAGTGTGGGGATGGGGGTGTCAGTGTGGGGATGGGGATGGGGATGTCAGTGTGGGGATGGGGTGTCAGTGTGGGGATGGGGGTGTCAGTGTGGGGATGGGGGTGTCAGTGTGGGGATGGGGATGGGGATGGGGATGTCAGTGTGGGGATGGGGGTGTCAGTGTGGGGATGGGGGTGTCAGTGTGGGGATGGGGATGGGGGTGTCAGTGTGGGGATGGGGTGTCAGTGTGGGGATGGGGATGGGGGTGTCAGTGTGGGGATGGGGGTGTCAGTGTGGGGATGGGGATGGGGATGGGGATGTCAGTGTAGGGATGGGGTGTCAGTGTGGGGATGGGGGTGTCAGTGTGGGGATGGGGGTGTCAGTGTGGGGATGGGGATGGGGATGGGGATGTCAGTGTAGGAATGGGGTGTCAGTGTGGGGATGGGGGTGTCAGTGTGGGGTTGGGGGTGTCAGTGTGGGGATGGAGATGGGGATGTCAGTGTGGGGATGGGGGTGTCAGTGTGGGGATGGGGTGTCAGTGTGGGGATGGGGGTGTCAGTGTGGGGATGGGGACGGGGATGTCAGTGTGGGGATGGGGGTGTCAGTGTGGGGATGGGGATGGGGATGTCAGTGTGGGGATGGGGTGTCAGTGTGGGGATGGGGGTGTCAGTGTGGGGATGGGGGTGTCAGTGTGGGGATGGGGATGGGGATGGGGATGTCAGTGTGGGGATGGGGGTGTCAGTGTGGGGATGGGGGTGTCAGTGTGGGGATGGGGATGGGGGTGTCAGTGTGGGGATGGGGTGTCAGTGTGGGGATGGGGATGGGGGTGTCAGTGTGGGGATGGGGGTGTCAGTGTGGGGATGGGGGTGTCAGTGTGGGGATGGGGATGGGGATGTCAGTGTGGGGATGGGGTGTCAGTGTGGGGATGGGGTGTCAGTGTGGGGATGGGGGTGTCAGTGTGGGGATGGGGATGGGGATGGGGGTGTCAGTGTGGGGATGGGGTGTCAGTGTGGGGATGGGGGTGTCAGTGTGGGGATGGGGTGTCAGTGTGGGGATGGGGGTGTCAGTGTGGGGATGGGGTGTCAGTGTGGGGATGGGGGTGTCAGTGTGGGGATGGGGGTGTCAGTGTGGGGATGGGGGTGTCAGTGTGGGGATGGGGACGGGGATGTCAGTGTGGGGATGGGGGTGTCAGTGTGGGGATGGGGATGGGGATGTCAGTGTGGGGATGGGGTGTCAGTGTGGGGATGGGGGTGTCAGTGTGGGGATGGGGGTGTCAGTGTGGGGATGGGGATGGGGATGGGGATGTCAGTGTGGGGATGGGGGTGTCAGTGTGGGGATGGGGGTGTCAGTGTGGGGATGGGGATGGGGGTGTCAGTGTGGGGATGGGGTGTCAGTGTGGGGATGGGGATGGGGGTGTCAGTGTGGGGATGGGGGTGTCAGTGTGGGGATGGGGGTGTCAGTGTGGGGATGGGGATGGGGATGTCAGTGTGGGGATGGGGTGTCAGTGTGGGGATGGGGGTGTCAGTGTGGGGATGGGGGTGTCAGTGTGGGGATGGGGATGGGGATGGGGGTGTCAGTGTGGGGATGGGGTGTCAGTGTGGGGATGGGGGTGTCAGTGTGGGGATGGGGTGTCAGTGTGGGGATGGGGGTGTCAGTGTGGGGATGGGGTGTCAGTGTGGGGATGGGGGTGTCAGTGTGGGGATGGGGGTGTCAGTGTGGGGATGGGGATGTCAGTGTGGGGTTGGGGGTGTCAGTGTGGGGATGGGGATGGGGGTGTCAGTGTGGGGATGGGGATGTCAGTGTGGGGTTGGGGGTGTCAGTGTGGGGATGGGGGTGTCAGTGTGGGGATGGGGATGGGGATGTCAGTGTGGGGATGGGGGTGTCAGTGTGGGGTTGGGGGTGTCAGTGTGGGGATGGGGATGGGGATGTCAGTGTGGGGATGGGGGTGTCAGTGTGGGGATGGGGATGGGGATGTCAGTGTGGGGATGGGGGTGTCAGTGTGGGGATGGGGTGTCAGTGTGGGAATGGGGATGTCAGTGTGGGGATGGGGGTGTCATTGTGGGGATGGGGGTGTCAGTGTGGGGATGGGGTGTCAGTGTGGGAATGGGGATGGGGTGTCAGTGTGGGGTTGGGGGTGTCAGTGTGGGGTTGGGGGTGTCAGTGTGGGGATGGGGTGTCAGTGTGGGGATGGGGGTGTCAGTGTGGGGATCGGGATGTCAGTGTGGGGATGGCGATGTCAGTGTTGGGATGGGGGTGTCAGTGTGGGGGTGGGGTGTCAGTGTGGGGATGGTGTGTCAGTGTGGGGATGGGGATGGGGATGTCAGTGTGGGGATGGGGTGTCAGTGTGGGGATGGGGGTGTCAGTGTGGGGATGGGGTGTCAGTGTGGGGATGGGGGTGTCAGTGTGGGGATGGGGGTGTCAGTGTGGGAATGGGGATGGGGTGTCAGTGTGGGGATGGGGATGTCAGTGTGGGGATGGGGGTGTCAGTGTGGGGATTGGGTGTCAGTGTGGGGATGGGAGTGTCAGTGTGGGGATGGGGGTGTCAGTGTGCGAATGGGAATGGGGTGTCAGTGTGGGGATGGGGATGTCAGTGTTGGGATGGGGGTGTCAGTGTGGGAATGGGGATGGGGTGTCAGTGTGGGGATGGGGATGGGGTGTCAGTGTGGGATGGGGTGTCAGTGTGGGGATGGGGGTGTCAGTGTGGGGATGGGGGTGTCTTTGTGGGATGGGGTGTCAGTGTGGGGATGGGGGTGTCAGTGTGGGGATGGGGTGTCAGTGTGGGGATGGGGATGGGGGTGTCAGTGTGGGGATGGGGTGTCAGTGTGGGGGTGGGGTGTCAGTGTGGGGATGTAGGTGTGGGAGTTATCGGTGTGGGTGATTGGTGGGGGATGTGGGTAACAGGGCTGTGGCTGTGGGTGGTAGTCTAGAAGCCGGAGCACACTGAAGTGGAGGCGTGCTGTGATGACCTGAGGTGCAGGGCCGCATCATGGGATGGTTAGGATCAACATGGGGTTTGTTTTTGGGGTGTGTGTGTGTGTGTGTGTGTGTGTATGTGTGGTGTGGCCTGCACCTTCTCTCAGGCTCGGGGCCAGTGACCAGGGGACATGCCCTTTGCCTGGCGCCGGGCCTCCTTGGCTCCTCCAGCGCCTGGGCAGCGGAGCCAGGAGCCATGTGCTACGTGAGGTCCAGGCGCTCTCCCTGCGGGCTGCTGGCGGTCTCTGCAGGACATTCTGTTGGTGGCACTTGGCAGGCAGCTGTATGGGGCTGGGTCTCAGGACTGAGCCCTAGGGCGTGACTGCGGTGGGAGCAGTCTTAAGGGGTGACCCCCCCATCTCCATGGACACCAGGCTGTGTCAGTGGCCGCTGTGCGGGAATCACAGCCTCCCCGTCAGCCTCCTGCGGCCTCCGCCTCCGTTCGGTGCTGTGTCCCCAGGTCCCAGGTCCCCAGGCTCCGGTCGCGTGCTCGTGTCCCAGCACGTTCACCTGTGAGCTAGAGGCACGTGGCTGTGGCCCCTCCTAAGCTCGCTGGACCAGCGGTTTGGTGGGACCCCCTCGCCCAGGGCTGAGGGGGCCGGAGCACCTGCCTGGGCCCCACAGGCAGACACACGTGAGCCTGTGCCAGGAGCGGCCGGAAGAACACTGCTCTGCTCCCCAGAGACGTGTGTGTAAGCCCATTTAATGGGGTCACCCAGACGCCCGCACCCCATACCCAGGCCCCCTGAACCCGAGGAGTGGGGGCGCTGCGCTCAGCGGGCGGCGTGGCAGCGAGCAGGCCTCCCGGAGCAGCGGGTCACAGGTGTCAGCGCGGCGACAGCAGACACAGCGCGTGGCGCCTCCTCTCTGCCTGGGCTGGAGCCGGGCGTGCGGGGCGACGGCCACAGCCTGGCACCCAGCCTCCCCGGCCCTGCTGTTCTGAAACAGCGGACTCCTCTCCCCGGACGGGCGGTCAGGCGGACACTCGTGGCCGTGTCTGTGCGGCAGACGGGGCTGCAGCAGCGGGCCGGCCTGCGGAGCGCCCCCTGCCGGCGCTCCGAGCCGTCACGCAGAGACCCGGTGCCCTGCAGTCCTCCTCCAGCGTGGGGGCCGTGCGAGGGGCCACAGCACTGCCGTGTGTGAGCCCGCTGCTTCAGCTGAACGGGTCCCGCGGGCCTCACCCACCACCTTGCCAACGACCTGTGCTCCCTGGAGGCGGGGACCGTGCTCGGCAGGCAGCCCCAGAGCGGGAGGGAGGTGCCGGGACAACCTCGCTGTTACTGGTCCCAAAGCTCCAGGAGGTCACCGTCGTGCCTCGCCCTGGCCAGCCTGGTCCCCGGGGCCTGCCGATGACAAGCGGCAGCCGCTCTGTGCCGGGGGCTGCCGCCCCCACGGCCGGCGACCCAGAAGGCACAGGCCACAGCCTAACCCAGGGCCGCACACGCAGCAGGAGCACAATAGTGTTTGCGACTGGGAGTGAGGATGAGCTTGAAGGAAATGAGATCTTTTCAAGACGGCGAGGGTAGATGGACAGGTTGCCCCCAAGCTGGACGACCCCACAATCTCTCTTCATTATTATTTAATTGAACAAAAATACACGTGATTAGCGGCTAAGCTCTAGTGACTATGGGCTGGGACCTTACGCCAGCAGCTCCGCTGGAGACGTCATCGCCGTGACCGGCTGCGGCGGGCGCTCACTGCGGAAGGGCCTGGAGGATGGCGTTGACCTCCTCGGCCACTGCGGTCAGAGCGAACTCGAACTGCGCCTGCGGACGAGAGGGTGGTCCAGCAAGTGCTCCGCGGGCCCGATCCCACGGGGGCGGCCGAGGGTGACGGCACAGCCACATCGGGGCCCTCGGGGCAGTTACCCAGTCCCAGGAGCCAGCCCACTGCCACCCAGCCTGGACCCTGCCCTCGGGGGCCTGAGCTGCGCCCTGGATGTACGTATGTACTGCCTCTGCACCGTTTCCCAGCTGCGACACTGTAACTTCACATAAAAATGTCTAAGAAACGTCCGTGTGTGCTGAGCTGGAGTACTTCCTGCCGATCTCAGGAGATCCGGCCGCTCTGCCTGTCTGGGCGGAGTGTCTGCAGTGACTGCCCGGCGGGACTCCCTGTCTCCCCTCCTCCCAGCGCTGGCCCTGTCTGACCTGTGACCTCAGAGAGAGGACCACACCGCTCACACTTCGTGGGGAACGCGCCCGAGGCGGCGGCTGCAGGCACCACCTGCCCACACCTTGGCGGCTGATGGCACAGCAGCTGCTCTACAACCGGGTCCGAGGAGGCAGCTCGTGGCAGCTTCTCCCGGGCGGGCCCCCGTCCCCGCGTGGGCACCAGGCGCGCGGTCGGCAGTGCTGGGTGGGCGGGGCTGCGGCGGAGAGGCTGTGTCTGGGGTGCAGTCACCTCATTCTAGTCCTGGTTCCCGTCTGCACCCGATGGTGCCTCTGCCTGCTCAGTGAGTGTGCACACGAGCTATTGGGGGCGCCTGGGACCGGGCCAGAGCTGTGGGACCGGCAGAATCTGGAGGCTCCCTGCGGGGTGTGGGCTGGCTCTGGCCTGTGTGTGGAAACGTGGTGTGGCCCCACCCCGTCGGGGCCTCGCCAGCCGGCGTACCTTGGTCTGGACCATGCCCGGCCTCTGGTCCCGCAGGTGCTCCAGGGTGGCTGCCATGTCCATCTCCTTGGCGCCTGCAAGAAACGCCGCCCATCAGCGGGCATCCTGGAGGCCCCCGCGGGCCCCGCCACGGCCGCCAGGCCTGGGTGACCTCGCCCGCAGGCGGCGTCCACCCGGAAGGGAGGGCCGGGCTGAGGAATGCTCCCAGGCAGCCATCGCCGCGGACACGGGCGTTACCGCCCGCTGCGAGGCACACGCAGGCTTCTCACGCGGAGATGGACAGCCAGGCCGTCCATCCTCCCGGCCGCCCTGCCGGGCCCGCGGGGAGGGAGGCCGTGCCCACAGGGAGGGGGTGCCCGGAGCCTCCCCGCAGGGCCCGCCCACGGCCATGTCACCCAGCACACGGCCACTTCCCGCGGCTCAGGGCGTGGGCACCGCGGCCGCGCGGGCACCGCCCGGGGCTGTGGGATCGGGGTCGGCGCGGCGGCTGCTGAAGGGCTCGGACCCGCATCCACGGCAGCGTTTCTGCTCCCGCCCTCCAGGGCCGCCGTCTCCCGCCGCCCTCTGGCCTAACGGCGGGTCCGAGGAGCTGGCAGCACAGGCGGAGGGCAGCCGTGGGCGTGGGGGAGCGGCCCGAGGGGGAGCACCCTCCTAGACACGAGCTCAGCAGACCGGGCTCCGCCGTCCCCATGGCCTGCACAGTCCTCCCCGACCCCAGGTTCAAGGGCTTATCTGGGGGAAGTGGGCCCGCAGCCCTGGTCTGAACACAGCAGCGAGAAAGAGGGGTGGGGAGGGGTGCGAGGGCCCAGTAGGGACACACCCCGGAGGGCAGGCCAGGAGGGACACACCCCGGAGGACAGGCCAGGAGGGACACACCCCCGGAGGGAAGGCCAGGAGGGACACACCCCCGGAGGGAAGGCCAGGGCCCAGGAGGGACACACCCCGGAGGGAAGGCCAGGAGGGACACACCCCGGAGGACAGGCCAGGAGGGACACACCCCCGGAGGGAAGGCCAGGAGGGACACACCCCCGGAGGACAGGCCAGGAGGGACACACCCCCGGAGGGAAGGCCAGGGCCCAGGAGGGACACACCCCGGAGGACAGGCCAGGAGGGACACACCCCCGGAGGGAAGGCCAGGAGGGACACACCCCCGGAGGGAAGGCCAGGGCCCAGGAGGGACACACCCCGGAGGGAAGGCCAGGAGGGACACACCCCCGGAGGGCAGGCCAGGAGGGACACACCCCCGGGGGGAAGGCCAGGGCCCAGGAGGGACACACCCCGGAGGGCAGGCCGGGCCCAGGGGGGACACACCCTCGGAGGGCGGGCCAGGAGGGACACCCCCCCGGAGGGAAGGCCAGGAGGGACACACCCCCGGAGGGCAGGCCAGGAGGGACACACCCCCGGAGGACAGGCCAGGAGGGACACACCCCCGGAGGGAAGGCCAGGGCCCAGGAGGGACACATCCCGGAGGGAAGGCCAGGAGGGACACACCCCCGGAGGGCAGGCCAGGAGGGACACACCCCCGGAGGGAAGGCCAGGAGGGACACACCCCCGGAGGGCAGGCCAGGAGGGACACACCCCCGGAGGGAAGGCCAGGGCCCAGGAGGGACACACCCCGGAGGGAAGGCCAGGAGGGACACACCCCCGGAGGGCAGGCCAGGAGGGACACACCCCCGGGGGGAAGGCCAGGGCCCAGGAGGGACACACGGGTCAGAGGGATGAGCTGCAACTAAAGGGGGAAACGGCCAAGAGAGAAGCTGCCTGGGCACCACCGAGAGCAATCTGTGTCCACGTCTCCCCGCACACCCCCCACAGCTACTCCCCCCCAGCCACGGCCACCCCACAAGCCACAGCCATCCCCCCACTACGGCCACCCCCGCCACGGCCACCCAACGGCCACCCCCACGCCTGTAACCATAGGAACAATGACGCACGGGCCCGTGGCTCTGAGAACAAGTTGCCTCAGTCAGAGCGGGCATGAGCAAGGGGCCAGAGCTGTGTGCAGTCTGTCCCTCACCCAAGAACGGATATACATTTTAATGTGTTTTTATTGATTTCAGAGAGGAGGGGAGAGAGACAGAAACATCAATGAGGAGAGAATCACGGGTTAGCTGCCTCCTGCAGGGCACCACCCCTCTCTCTCCCCTCCCCGTCCCAGGGTTTTGAGACTCAATTTGGGCTGGTGCTCCGACCGGGAATCGGTCCCTGACCTCATTCACAGGTTGATGCTCACCCACTGGGAGCTCTGGCCACCCCAAGAGTGTTCTTTTCTATTGATTTTTAGAGAGGGTGCAAGAGAGAGAGGGAGGGACTTCGATGTGAGAGTCACAGAGGTCCCTGGCCTTGCCTGGGGATTGAACCCGACACCCTTCAGCGATGCCCTCCCTGTGGAGCATTGGCCAGGAGGGCCGCGAGCCAGGCAAATCTCCCGGCCCCGAGGGGCTCCGAGCTAACAGGACCCTGGAAGGACCGGGAGGCGTGGGAGAGGCACGTGGGCGCTCACGTCCTGTCCCGAGGCGTGGCCAGGGCGGCCCCACTGAGCGAGGACCTGAGGGCCCGCGAGGGCCCGTGAGGTGAGGAGTCCGGGTGGGGGGCCGGCCGGGGGCTCGCTGGCTCCACCCTCTCTGCTGCCCAGGCAGCTCCCAAGCCCTGCCCACCTGCGGCCTTGTCTTGCTGTTGAAGTCAACATCTATGCCTGGCCCGTGTGGCTCTGTGGATAGCGCGTCAGCCTGCCGACCGAAGGGTCCTGGGTTCCATCCTGATCAAGGCAACATACCTCCGTTGCAGGCTCCTCCCGGCCCCGGAATTGGTTGGGGTGTGTGCAGGTGGCAGCTAATGGATGTGTTTCTGTCTTTCCCTCTCCCTCCCACTCTCTAAAATCAATGGAAAAACATCCTCAGGTGAGGATTAACAAAACACAAGTTACCATCTAGCCGGCCTGCTGCCTTAACGGCCAGAGTGTGGCCCAAAGGGTCTTGGCGTCCCTTCCCAGCCAAGGGCACGGACCCGGGTTACAGGAAGCTGCTCACTGTCTTCACCAGCAGAGAAGTGTGGACAAGGAGCCCGGAATGCCAGTGACCTGGCAGAGGTCAGAGCTATGCACCGACTGTTTAGTTGAGACAATGGTAGCTGAAGCAACTTCCCGGCCAGACAGCCATGTAAATCCTTACTGATTCGGTAGCTGCTGGTTGCTGCCGACTGCCTGCCGAGGGCTACAGGTGCATCCCAGCTGAATAAACGGAGGCCAGGCCGGAGCCCAAGCCGAGTCCTTCTTCTGGCGTTGGGCTCCCGCCTGCCCGCCCACCCCATTTCCAAATTATGATCTATTGTCTCATCTGTCATTTGTGCACAGCCCTTCTCGAGCCCGAACCCTGAACCCTGCAGGACTCGGCCTTCACACTGGGGGGCAGATTTGATCCCCAGCCCAAGTCCGGAGTGTGTCTCTCCCATGCGTTTCTCCCTCCCAGCTCCATGCCCTCTCTAAAGTCAAAGGGAAACACCTCCCTAGGATTAGCCGCAAGTTACCCCTGAGAAGGCCTGCGGACCGCTCGGCTTCCTGGACAGGACACCACACGGCGCAAAGGCAGCTGCGGGCTCAGTGCTCCTGTGGCGAAGGCCACCAGCAAGAGCGAGGAGGCTCCCGGGAGGGAGAGAGCGCCACCTGGCGTCCAGCCGGGAGAAGTGTGCGGGGGAGAAGGACCCCTGCGACTCAACAGCAGCGGGTTGTGGGCTCGGTGGGGGGGGGGGGGGGGGGCGTGTAGGAGGCATCTGGTCAATGATTCTCTCATCATTGATGTTTCTATCTCTTTCTTCTCACCCTTCCTCTCTGCAATGAATAAAAACGTATTAAAAAATTAGCCCAATTAAAACAATGATCAAAGGCCCTGGCCAGTGTGCTAAGTGGTCAGAGCTCGGCCCAATCCCCAGGGATATGGCTTCCCTTCCCAGCCAAGGGCACAGGACTGGGTTGTAAGCTCCATCCCTGGTCCCGGTTGGGGCACAGACCAGAGGCAACCAATCACTGTGTCCCGCCCTCCCTGCCTCCCTCCCTGTCACTCTCTCTGAAAACCAGTGGAAACATGTCCTTGGCTGAGGATTAACAACAACAAAGAACAAGGACTGAACACTCCACAGAAGACACCCAGATGGCCAACGAGCTCAGAAAGCGCTCAGAGCCCCGTCCGCAGGACGTGCAGGTCCGAGCACAGGAGTCCCAGCTCCGCCCTGGGAGGGACGGGACGGAGCGGTGCCCGAGGGGGGGAGAAGCTGACCTCCGAGCACGATGGGGGGAAGGTGAAATGGTGCGACAGCACGGAGCTTCCTCACAGCCACACACAGGTCACACGTGACCGTGACTCCACTTCTGGGGGTCCCACAGGAGGAAGCAGACGCCTGCAGAGATGTTTGCAGGAGCCGAGCCAGGCCGCGGTCACGGCAGGGCAATGGTTGGGCCTTGGGGAGGAGGGCATTTGCCACAGGCCACAGGCGGGCCTGAGGACGTGACACTGCGCCGTCACAGAGCAGCGGAGGCGCCAGGCCCGAGGGTCCGCATGTGGCAGGGGACAGCCATCTCCCAGCAGCAGGCGCGGGGCAGAGGGGAGGGGAGCTGGACGGGAGTCAGGGGGCCATGCCCGCTCACCTCCACGGGGCGGCACCCCCAGCAGCCCCGGCTTACAAGGCAGCTCTGGCTCATTCACACCCTGAAGGGACCCGGTCCCTGGGCCCTGACAGCAAAGGAACAGCCGCCCTGAGAGCGGGGGGGGGGGGGGGGGGGGGGGGGGGGGCTGGGTGCACGGAAGACAGTGCCCCTGAGGGACTCACAAGCATGGTATTTGGGAAGCTCCATTCCTGCACACACACACACGCACACACACACGCACACGTGCACACACACGCACACGTGCACACACACGCACACGTGCACACACACGTGCACACACACGTGCACACACACACACGCACACGTGCACACACACACGCACACACGCACACACACTCTCATACATACATGCACGCACACACATGCACACGCACACACACTCTCCACGCACACGCACGTGCACGCACACGCACATACACGCACATGCACACACGCTCATACATACACGCACGCACGCACACATGCACACGTACACACACACACTCATACACACACTCTCCACACACATGCACACACACACACGCACATACACGCACACAAACATGCACACACACATGCACACGCACATGCACGCACGCGCGCACCCCCACAATGACTGAGTGCAGCGAGCCTGGGCCGCGGCCGGGAGGCACGCTGCCCGCGGGGCGTCTCGGGAGAGGCACGCACAGAACGCATCCCACGCCGACAGGAACGAAGCCAGAAACACGCTCGCAGCCAGAGTCAATGCGGGGCTCGGGCGGCCGGCCGTGCAGCTGAGCGGTTCCTCGCCGGCCCCGGCGGGACGGCCAGGCCCCCAGCAGCCTAGCCGCCGCCAGCCGCGGAGCGGGAGGCTCGCACGGCGTTCTGGGCCGTTTCTCTTCAGACAGGAGGGAAGGCCCGGTCCGCTCTGGGCCTTTGATCGTCTGATGGACGGGGCTGGCCTCCTGCGCCTCGGAGGACAAAGGCCGCTCAGAACAAAGCCCAGAGGCCTGGGAACGGCGGGGCCGCCCGCCCTTTGATCTCCGGAGACTCGGCTGCCCGGACACCGGCCCAGGCAGAGGGCGAGGCGGGGGAGGGCGGGTCTGTGCGGCTGGGCCGTGGGCAGCCGCCCACTCGGCAGACCTGGCCTTGCTCCCGCGGCAGCGAAGACAGGTCAGCCCCACCGGGCTTCTCCGTGCAGCAGACCTGCGCCCTCGAACCCAGCTCTCCCCACAAACACTAAGCCCAACCCCCGTGTGCCCAGCGGGTCTGTGTCCCGTCTCACAAGCTCGGGCGTCTCCTCACACCCACTGTTCTTCCAAGTAACTGCGAAGGCAGGCAGACGCCAGGGCGCGGCGGCTGGGGAGGGGGGCGGCCGGGGAGGGGGGCGGCCGGGGGGGACGGCCGGGGAGGGGGGCGGCCGGGGAGGGGGGGGCGGCCGGGGAGGGGGGACGGCCGGGGAGGGGGGGCGGCCGGGGGGGGGGCGGCTGGGGAGGGGCGGCTGGGGAGGGGGAGGCGGCCGGGGAGGGGGGGGCGGCTGGGGAGGGGGCGGCCTGGGAAGGGGGGGCAGCTCGAGAGGGGGGCGGCTGGGGAGGGGGGTGGCCCGGGGGGGGCGGCCGGGAAGGGAGGGGGGCGGCCGGGGAGGGGGGACGGCCCGGGAGGGGGGGGCGGCTTGGGAGGGGGTGGCCTGGGAAGGGGGGGCAGCTCGGGAGGGGGGGTGGCCGGGGAGGGGGGCGGCCGGGGAGGGAGGGGGGCGGCCGGGAAGGGAGGGGGGGCAGCCGGGGAGGGAGGGGGGCGGCCGGGAAGGGAGGGGGGGCAGCCGGGGAGGGAGGGGGGCGGCTGGGGAGGGGGGATGGCCCGGGAGGGGGGGGCGGCCGGGGAGGGTGGCGGCCCGGGGGGGGCGGCCGGGAAGGGAGGGGGGCGGCCGGGAAGGGGGGACGGCCCGGGAGGGGGGGGGTGCCCCGGGGGGGGGCGGCCGGGGGGGGGCGGCCGGGAAGGGATGGGGGCGGCTGGGGAGGGGGGACGTCCGGGGAGGGGGGCGGCCGGGGAGGGGCGGCCGGGAAGGGAGGGGGGCGGCTGGGGAGGGGGGACGGCCGGGGAGGGGGGACGGCCGGGGAGGGGGGACGGCCGGGGAGGGGGTGGCGGCTGGGGAAAGGGGGGCGGCTGGGGGGGGGCGGCTGGGGAGGGGGGGGCGGCTGGGGGGGGCGGCTGGGGAGGGGGGGGCGGCCGGGGAGGGGTGGGCGGCCGGGGAGGGGGGCGGCCGGGGAGGGGGGACGGCCGGGGAGGGGGGGGCGGCTGGGGAGGGGGCGGCCGGGGAGGGGGGGGCGGCTGGGGAGGGGGCAGCCTGGGAAGGGGGGGCAGCTCGGGAGGGGGGCGGCTGGGGAGGGGGGTGGCCCGGGGGGGGCGGCCGGGAAGGGAGGGGGGGCAGCCGGGGAGGGAGGGGGGCGGCTGGGGAGGGGGGATGGCCCGGGAGGGGGGGCGGCCGGGGAGGGTGGCGGCCCGGGGCGGGGCGGCCGGGAAGGGAGGGGGGCGGCCGGGGAGGGAGGGGGGGCGGCCCGGGGGGGGGCTGGAGAGGAGGAGAGACCCGCACATCCTTCCTGCGCGGAAGCCGGTGCAGAGCTCTGCGGGCAATAAGAGGTTTAGTGTGATGAGCTCGCCACCAAAGGTCTCAGGTGACTCCAGAATGTTCCTGCAAATGCAGCTCATAACAGGGAAGTTTGGGCGGAAGGCCGCTCTGAGGCGCTGCCGCTCTAGGGCACCGGGCCTGTCCGGTCGGACGCCGCCCAGCTGCTCAGCGCACGCTCCCAGTACCCTGGGCGCCACCCCAGTGTCCACCCCACGGACTGGCACAAAGGAGGAGCTGGAGCCGCAGAGCTCGCTGCAAGCAGCTTCACACAACCTGGAAAAGGGACGGGCTCTGGGAGAGCAGCACCAGTTGCCATAGCAACGGCTCCCTCTCCGAGCCCCAGGCGAGCCTCACCTTTGGCCATCTTGGTGAGAACCATGTCGATCAGGATGTAGGTGCCGCTTCTGCCCGCGCCGTCGCTGTTGACAGAAAGAGAGAGGTGAGAACGCCGCTCGTCCTGGTCCCCACAGCCAAGCCAACGCCAGCCACTTCCTCCTGTGCTTGGCGGGGGGTGGGGTGGGGGTGTCTCTGAGGGGAAATGGGGGGAGGAGGAATCACAGGGAGGGAGAGGGAGGACAAAGAGTAGAAGGAGGAGGAGGATGAGAAAGAAGAGGAAGAGGAGGTAGAAGAGAAAGAGGAGGAGAGGGGAGGAGGAGAAGGAAGGGGAAGAGGAGGAGGAGGAGGAGAGGAGGAGATGGGAGGAGGAGGAGGAGATGGGAGGAGGAGGAGGAGATGGGAGGAGGAGGGAGAAGATGATGATGATGAGGAGGAGGAGGAGGAGGAAACTGGAAGCCATGTGGATTAGCCAACGTTCTTGTGTAGATTCATTTCTCTCTCCCCCCTCCCCTAGAGGGGTAAATTTTGTCTGGAAGAAAGGATAAAGGGTCAGGTGATGCATTTGTGTGTAGGGCAACTTGCTCTGAGCTCTGACACAGCCTAGGGGCAGATGCCAGTCCTGGTGTCAGGAGGGGGAAGAGGAGGAGGGGGGGGAACAGGGGGAGAAGGAAGAGGAGGGGAGGAGAAAGAAGAGCGGAGGAGGAAGTGGAGGGGAAGAGGAAGGGGAGGGGAAGAGGAAGGGGAGGGGAGGAGGAAGAAGGGAAGGAAGAAGGGGAGGAGGAGGAAGGGGAGGAGAAGGGGAGGAGAAGGAAGGGGAGGAGAAGGGGAAGAGGAGGAAGGGGAGGAGAAGGGGAGGAGAAGGAGGAATAGGAGGGGCAGGACACCTGGGCTCCCGGCAGAGGGGAGCCCCCGTCCTCCTCACATTTCCGTTCACCCCCTCCCACCCAGTGACAGACCGTTGGCCCTGGCGAGGCGCGGACAGGTGCGGATGGTGCCTCACACGGAGGAGACGGGATGCCGCCCCCTCCAATCTCAGGCCTGCGCCGAGGCCCTCACTTAAGGGGGAGCTGTGCCTGAGCGGCTTACAGGGTACGCCCGGCAAAACCGAGGTGACTTTAAGGAAAAACAGGGGTTTCCATGGAAAGACCCAAGGCACTCCAGGCTAAAGCAGAAACCACAGTGCTGGTGGGCTGGAAGGGCCAGAACCCTGGGGTGGCCGGGAGCCTGCGGCAAGGCCCTGAGTGTGGCTGTGGCCTGTCTCCTCAAACAGCTGTTTGAAAAGCTGCAGCTGGGACAGTGACCCTTCCACCTGCTCGCCTGCCGGGCTCCTTACAGGGACCCTCCTGCCTGGGCTGCTCACTCTCCTCCACGAACTTCACCCCAGTGTTCCGAGGCCTACACAGCCTCCGGCCGCCACCGTGGCCCCTGGTCCGTCCTCGGCTTTGAGGAAGCGATTGTCTCTGCTCTCCTCCTCTCCTCCCAACCAACACAGCCCAGACCCAGTCAGAAAGACACAGAGACACAGGCTCACAGACACACACACACACACACACACACACTCACACACAGACATACACGGACACTCACAGACACACAGACACACACACACACTCACACACAGACATACACGGACACTCACAGACACACAAACACACACAGACACACACAGACACAGACATACACGGGCACTCACAGACACACACACACACACAGACACACACACACAGACACAGACATACACGGGCACTCACAGACACACACACACACACAGACACACACACACAGACACAGACATACACGGGCACTCACAGACACACACACACACACAGACACACACACACAGACACAGACATACACGGGCACTCACAGACACACACACAGACACACACACACAGACACAGACATACACGGGCACTCACAGACACACAAACACACAGACACACACACACAGACACAGACACACACACACAGACACAGAATACACGGGCACTCACAGACACACAAACACACACAGACACACAGACACACACACAGACACACACACACTCACACACAGACATACACGGACACTCACAGACACACACACAGACACACACACACAGACACAGACATACACGGGCACTCACAGACACACAAACACACAGACACACACACAGACACACAGACACACACACACACTCACACACAGACATACACGGACATTCACAGACACACAAACACACACAGACACACAGACACACACACACACTCACACACAGACATACACGGACACTCACAGACACACAGACACTCACAGACATACAGACACAAACACAGACACACACACAGACAAACACACAGACACACAGACATTCACAGACACTCACAGATACACATAGACATTCAGATATACACAGACACTCATAGACACATAGACACAGACACTCACAGACACTCACAGAAACACACATACAGACACAGACACAGACACTCACAGATACACACACTCACAGACACACAGACACACACAGACACAAGATACACACAGACACAGACACACAGTTTTACAGACAACAGACATATACACACAGACACACTCACACACAGACAGACACACAGACACACACAGAGACACAGGCATGCACAGAAGTAGACACATGCATCACGGACCATGCACACACACGCGCGTGCGCACACACACGCACACAGTTCCTGACAGGCGTGTGTCTGATGTGAGACGGTCTCCCGGCGGAAAGGCATCTGCAGGGACACTGCCAGGAAGTGGCGTGGCTCGCCCACAGCGGCACAGCCTCCCAGCTCCACGGGGCCCGGCCTGCAGCAGGCCCGAGCCGGAATTTCCACCCAAAGGCGGGCTCACGCCATCACAGGTCCTGTCCTGCTCACAGCTGCCGTGCCCTCCCGCCTGCACCAGGTTCCAGCGCGGCCAAGACAGTGACCGATCGGAACGCTGCCCCATGCCATGCGATGGCTCCACGGGGCTAAGAAAACCCGGGTGGCGCACACGGGACTGAGCCCACGGCTCGGCGGCACGGAGCTGAGGGCACGGAGCTGAGGGCAGTGCCTCTCTCTGGTCTCGTGACCTGCCCGGTGGCCGTGCCTGGAGCCACCAGAAAGCTCGACCCTGCCTTTGCAGGTGGCTGGGGAGGAGCAGACATGGTAACCCACGCGAAAGGTTGTACTTGCCTGCAATGAACAATTATTGGACAAGAGCGGCCTTTGTAGCACTTGTTTACTTTTCTGAAATGAAAAGAGACAGGAATTACGGTCACACACGGCGACGGCTCCGCTGTGCTAGCCAGCCACCACCAGACCAAAGCAAACAGCGCAGTGGACATCCATCTGTGGAGCCTGTTTTGACAAAGAAATCGAAATTACACACGGCTTTCAAAGGCTTCTTTTTCTTTCCAGTGTTCAGTTATAAGCGGAGCTGTAGAAACAGTCCTTGCACGTTCCCGTTCCTTTCCCTTTACAGCCTGAGCTCAAGGCCTCAGGTCCTCCGAGGCAGCAGCACCGCTCCGGCCCCGTCCTCCTGTCCCTCAGCTAAGCTCACCCTCTAATACCGATGCGTGTCCAGACTCCTGCCTGGACGTTGAGTTCTGTAACGTCTGCTCAAAATCCCCCGCATCTGGACACCATACAGGAGTGGACACCTATTGTGTCTTCCGACGCGGCTCACAGGGACCCTGTGAAAGGCTCTGAAAGGGCGTCTGAAGACGGAGAAACCGCAACTGCAGTCGAGACGAGTCTCCCATTTCCACAAACTTGGGGATGTTTGGAAACAACTCCACTGTGCAGACTTTAAGTCAGAATTTATGAAAATCAGCAATAAGCATAGATTAAGATTTTATAACTACATCAAGACAGAGGATCATCCGAAATGCACTGAACAAACTCCAATGGTCTAAGCCAGTGAGACAGGCCAGCCTGTTCAGGAGGGCATGAGCGCTCTGTGGACGGCTCTGCAGGGAGAAGAGAGGCGGGCGCGTGCTGGAAGGAGCGCGGAGGTGGGTGTGGAAGTTGCACCGCAGGGACGGGAGGCACAGGCGGGAGAGAATGGCAGGCCAGTCTTGGCCCTCGTCCCAAAACTGGGGCGTGTTCCGCTTCTGTGCGTGCTGGCTCAGGTGACTGGGCGGCGTCCCTGCACGGAAGGTTGCCGGTTTGATCCTTGGTCAGAGCACATGACCGGGTTGTGGGTCTGATCCCAACTAGGGGACGTACAGAAGGCAGCCAATCAATGGTTCTCTTTCACATCACATTGATCTCTCTCTCCCCCACTCCCTTCCTCTCTCCCTAAAAATCAATAAAAGTTTCAATCAACTGGCTGCTCTGGTGCAAACCCAACAAGCCCAGAGGATGGCGGGGACGGCGGTGAGCCGGTCAGGACACGTGGCTGACCCTGGGCAGCGGCGGGTCGTGCTGTTTTCCTGCCTCCTCTGCGGGGTGACAGATGGTCACTCCTCAGGGGGCTGACAGCCTGAGCGCACAGAGGCAGCAGGCCGCCCCCGCTCTGGGCAGCGTGGGACTTGCTGCTGCCTCTGACCACGCGGCTGGAAGCTGCGCCCCCCAGAGGCGGCCTAGCAACGAGGAGCCTCAGGAGTGCGGTCAACGTGAAGCCGTGTCCCCGGCCACAGCTCCTTTTCTGCCAGAACCTTCCCGCGCTGGGTGTGCATTGCAGCATTACCTCGGGGGCGGGGGAAGTCAAGGTGAATGCGTTAAAATCGCAGCACTCGGGAGCCAGATGCCGTGAAGGGTCTTGGCTTTGAGAGTAAAGAGGTTGGAAAGGAGACCCTCATTCTCCTGAGCCTCTCGTTCTTCACTCCGGAGGCAAAGCAATGTGAGCGTCGCCGCTAGCAGCTGATGCCAGACCTTGTGCCCCAAGCGTGAGCACGTGTGTTTGTGCCTGCATACAAGCACGTGTGTCCATCCGTGTGTGTGTGTTTGCAAACGGGCATGTACACATGTTATACACGTATCTGTGTTCACACACACATCTACACACAGCACATGTGCACGTGTCTGCACACGTATTCATTCATGTGTGCACGTTTGCCCATCATGCTTATGTGCGTTTGTGCCATGTTTATGTTTGTGCATGTGTTGTATTTGTACACGTGTCTGCATGCACTGTGCCTGTGTGCGTGTGCAGAATCAAGCAAGCTCAAGGGTCGGGTGCAGTTGGGGCGGCACTGTTTCTACAGGTCTCTAATGTTCAAGCAGAAGGTTTTACTGGAAATGTCTGTCTGTCTGTTCCCTCTTCCCTCCTCCCGCTCAGAGCCAGGCTCATTGGTAAGAACTACACTCAGCTTCCCGCGTCCACGCACTGCTCAGTCACAGGCTTTGGTCATTTTTTCTGATGAGCCCAAGCACAAAACATGGACACTGAAAAAAAAATAAACATAACCAAATGTCCTTCCTTACACTGGGGGTTTCAGAAGACGTGGGTGTGGGGTGTCGCTGGCACAGCGCCCTTTATGGCTGGACAGCACATTGGCAAACAGCCAGAAAACCTCCCTGGCCACCAGGGCTGTGCGCTGTGTCGCGTTCCTGCCTTCCTTCAGATATCCCGGGGCTCTTCCCCCAATGCGCTGGCCGCCCCTCAGCGGCACCTGGGAAGGCTTCGCTGTGATTTTAACGACAAAGGGCGGGAGACGCCAGTGCAAGTGTAAGGAGCTGCCACGGTGTGCAGTTTTATCGACAAAGAATCAGGTGCTTGGTTCATTGTGAAGTGAAACACCACAGCAACAGAGCAACTGTGTCACACAGTCAACCGAAGCGTGCATCTGGTCGACCCAAGACAAAGCAGATTACCCGCTACGCCGAGCCCTGGGAGCCGCCCTTTTACGCCATCAGAGCTCAGGTCAGTGAGCGAGGCCGCACATGGAGACCAAGAGGGCTTCTCGGAGGAAGGGTTAGCGAAACAAACCAACCCTCGTCCCTGAGCGGCAAGGAACAGCAAGCAAGGTCAGAGGTCGTCAGAGGCTCAGAAAGGGGTCCGCACAGTGTCCCCTGCAGTAAAGTCACAGTTTCCAATGATCACTTTTGTGACTATGCAACTGGGCTCATATTACTAGCTGCAACGTCACAAAAATGACACCGGCCACCGCTAATTAGCTGGCAAAGTAAGGGTTTGTCCCGTCTACAGCGAGCGGCGGGAGGGGCACACGCACCGGAGGGAGGAGCGAGCGGGCCGGAGAGAGGGAGCGGTGTCAGAGCAAAGCCCTCGCCTGTGACCCACTGACGGGCTGAGCACGTCCCTTAAGTGCACTGTGCTCCTCGGCCTCGGGTCACTCAGTGACGCCTCGCGGGCCTGCCTGGCGCACGCGTGAGCCGCCGGCGTTCCCGGGAGGGGCGCCTGGTGTGGGGTGGACGGAGCCTCCAGCGCCTTCCGAGCCTGGGATGTGGGTGCTGCTCACTGATCTGCACAGTCCCCACCGCCATGGCAGGCGGCCAATGCCTCGCGGGTGCGCTTGGTCACACCGACCGTCTGGTGCCTGCGGACGCCGACCCCGCGGCATGGGTGCGGCCAGCGAGGCCAGCGGCAGCTCTCCGTTCTAACGAGGCTTCAAGCTGAGCATGGGCGTGTGCTCCCTTCCAGCGGCAAACTCCCTCTGGGCCTGGGCGCCCAGCGCCAGAGAGGGACTTGGGAGAGTCCAGTCTTTCAGTCTCTTTCCTGACAGAGAAGTGCAGACGGCGGGCTGAGTGTAATTCCATATGTGGACACGGATACCGAAATAGGCCATATGCTCATATGAACACACACGACGGGCACACAGGCGGCGAGGGTGGACTCCCCTCTGCAGCCGCACCACCTGCCAGGATGGCCCACTGTCTGACCCCGGGGAGGATCTGGACATAAGTCCACGTGAAGAGGATGCAGTGATGGCTGGGGAGGAGGCTGGAGGCCACCGCGTCAGTGTTTGGGGCTCCCAGTGTCCCGCCCCCTCGGGAGGGGCCGGGGCGGTCTCTGGGTGCTGGTGGCCACGCTTGCGAGAAAATGCACATCTCGCCTCCAGCTCCACATGCTACAGGGTCCAAGAGCTAGTCACAGGGAGAATTTGTTGTTCCAAAGTGGACTAAAAGGTGAGGGACATCGTCACCTCAGAACCTAAGGATCTGCTAACGCACGAATCAGGGAATCGGTGCGGCCGAGGCTGGAAGCTGCGGGGCCGGGCGAACCGGCCTCACTCTTCCCGGTGGGTGATGGGACTTCCTGACGAGGCAGGGGCCAGGGCTGGGCGGCTGCGGTTCTGTACACCGCTGGGCTCAGTGCCCCACCCCGAGCTCTTAACAGCTAATGCTCACCTATTCTTGTCATCAGATTGGAGGCACAGGAGCCTTTGTCTTAAGTTTTTTTTTGTTTTTTTTTTGCCGGAGGGAGGGAGGGACCTCACATTCCCCCAGCGGTTCAGTTAAAGCACGCTCACAGACTGTGCAGCTGTGTGCGAACTGTGCCCAGGCCTCCCGCCAGGGCACCCCGCCACAGCCTCCCGCCACGGCCTCCCGCCACAGCCTCCCGCCACAGCCTCCTGCCACAGCCTCCTGCCACGGCCTCCCGCCACAGCCTCCCGCCACAGCCTCCTGCCACAGCCTCCTGCCACGGCCTCCTGCCATGGCCTCCTGCCACAGCCTCCCGCCACAGCACCCACCAGGGCACCCCGCCACGGCCTCCTGCCACGGCCTCCTGCCACAGCCTCCCGCCACAGCACCCACCAGGGCACCCCGCCACGGCCTCCTGCCACAGCCTCCCGCCACAGCACCCACCAGGGCACCCCGCCACGGCCTCCTGCCACAGCCTCCCGCCACAGCACCCACCAGGGCACCCCGCCACGGCCTCCTGCCACAGCCTCCCACCACAGCACCCACCAGGGCACCCGCCACAGCCTCCTGCCACAGCCTCCTGCTACGGCACCCCGCCACGGCACCCCGCCACTGTGACCCATTTCAGAATCCGGGCCCCCGCTTGCTTGGTAAGCCATCAAATCTAACCAGACAAGTGTCCACACTGAGAGGCCGGTTTACGCACTGAGCCTGTGAGGTGGAGGCTCCAGCCTCCGTGCGTGGAGGAGGGCATGAGGGTGCGGAGCAGGGCTGACGATGCGCAGTGCCTGCACTGGCGGGGCTTTGCGAATTACGATGCCGTCCACGTGAAACCAGCGAAATTAATGCCGAGTGCCAGCTGTACTTAAAAACCGCTGCCTGGCCGGTGTGGCTCAGGAGGCCATGGTTCAATTCCCAGTCAGGCACATGCCCAGGCTGCGGGCTTGGTCCCCAGTGGGGGCGTGCAGGAGGTAGCAGATCAATGATTCTCTCTTATCACTGATGTTTCTATCTCTCCCTCTCCCTTCCTCTCTAAATCAATAAAAAGATTAAATAAAATTCTAAAAAAACTTAAAACAGAAAAAAAATTTTCCCTACAATTCTAAGATACCAAGTCCCCCCTCACGATTCACACCTCTGGGCGTGAAAGCCTCTTGTAATTAACAGAGACTTAACGGACCCCCCGCCGGCCTCCGTAAAGCGTGCTTCTGATCTGCGCACCTCCCGCCTGCCAGCGGGCCGCGGGCCGGAGCGCGCTGCCTGCGGCGGCCCTGGGTCCTACCTGCGGAAGTCCAGGAGGGACCGCGTGGAGGACGGCACGCCCTGGTCATACCAGCTCAGGAAGTGGAACTGCGTCACCGTGCGCGTCTCGCTGGTCTGCAGGTTCTTCAGGTAGAAGCTCCGCACCAGGAAGTCCTCGCACCAGACGTGCTCAGAGACCAGGTTCACCTGCGGGCGCGGGGAAGGCCGCGTCGGTGACCGGAGCCGCGGCCGCCGGCGGGGCGCTGGGACGGCGCCCGTCTCACTGCCACCCTGGCTGGCCAACGGTGACGGCGGGTGCTGGTGTTCGATGCCATCGAGGGCATAATGCTCAAATAACTAGAAAAATGTGTTAGAATCCAAACCATCCGGCTTCGTCTTCTGTATCTCGAAGTCACACAGCCTTCGGGGAAACTCAGCTGGAGCAGAGGGCCGGTGGGTCCGCCCGAGCCGGCCGGCGGCAGCCGCGGCCTCTCGCTGGGCCTGCTCGCTGACGCCTCGGTGCCCGAGCCACGAGGTAGGCCAGGCTCCTCTGCTTCCGCCTGCCCCGGGCCGAGCACTCCGGCCAGGCAGGCAGAGCGGGCAGCCCGCCCGGTGCGGCTCCTGCCATGCGGGAGGCGCTCGCCGGCAGGTCCCGCGGAGCGAGGGCCCAGGGCCGGGCCCGGGAGGGGGGGCAAGGGGAGCCGGGCACGTCTGTCTGGACGCCGACCCCAGCCTCGCCACACGGGCTGCGCTCAGCACCGCGAGGCCGCCACGTCCTCTGTCTGACTTAGACATCCACCGTGAGAACCCGGTCCCTCACCCAGGCCCAGCCAGGCCCAGCCCAGCCCAGCCCAGCCCAGCCCAGCCCAGCCCAGCCCAGCCCAGCCCAGCCCCAGCCCAGCCCAGCCCCAGCCCAGCCCAGCCAGGCCCAGCCCAGCCCAGCCCAGTCCCAGCCCAGCCAGGCCCAGTCCCAGCCCAGTCCCAGCCCAGCCAGGCCCAGCCCAGCCCAGCCCAGTCCCAGCCCAGCCCAGTCCCAGCCCAGCCAGGCCCAGCCCAGTCCCAGCCCAGTCCCAGCCCAGCCAGGCCCAGCCCAGGCCCAGCCCAGTCCCAGCCCAGCCCAGTCCCAGCCCAGCCAGGCCCAGCCCAGTCCCAGCCCAGTCCCAGCCCAGTCCCAGCCCAGCCAGGCCCAGCCCAGCCCAGTCCCAGCCCAGTCCCAGCCCAGTCCCAGCCCAACCCAGCCCAGCCAGGCCCAGCCCAGCCCAGTCCAGTCCCAGCCCAGCCCAATCCCAGCCCAGCCAGGCCCAGCCCAGTCCCAGCCCAGTCCCAGCCCAGTCCCAGCCCAGCCAGGCCCAGCCCAGCCCAGTCCCAGCCCAGTCCCAGCCCAGTCCAGCCCAGTCCCAGCCCAGTCCCAGCCCAGTCCCAGCCCAGCCCAGGCCCAGCCCAGCCCAGTCCCAGCCCAGTCCCAGCCCAGTCCAGCCCAGTCCCAGCCCAGTCCCAGCCCAGTCCCAGCCCAGCCCAGGCCCAGCCCAGTCCCAGTCCCAGCCCAGTCCCAGACCAGCCCAGCCCAGCCCAGTCCCAGCCCAGTCCCAGCCCAGTCCAGTCCAGTCCCAGTCCAGTCCCAGTCCCAGCCCAGCCCAGTCCCAGCCCAGTCCCATCCAGCCCCAGTCCCAGTCCAGCCCAGTCTCAGTCCCAGCCCAGTCCCGTCCCAGTCCCAGTCCCAGTCCAGTCCAGTCCCAGTCCCAGTCCAGTCCAGTCCAGTCCCAGTCCCAGTCCAGTCCCAGTCCCAGTCCCAGTCCGGTCCAGTCCCAGTCCAGCCCAGTCCCAGTCCCAGCCCAGTCCCGTCCCAGTCCCAGTCCCAGTCCAGTCCAGTCCCAGTCCCAGTCCCAGTCCAGTTCCAGTCCCAGTCCAGTCCAGTCCCAGTCCCAGTCCAGTCCAGCCCCAGTCCCAGTCCCAGTCCCAGTCCCAGTCCCAGTCCAGTTCCAGTCCCAGACCAGTCCAGTCCAGTCCCAGTCCCAGTCCAGTCCCAGTCCAGTCCAGTCCCAGTCCCAGTCCCAGTCCAGTCCAGTCCCAGTCCCAGTCCAGTCCAGTCCCAGTCCCAGTCCAGTCCCAGTCCCAGTCCCAGTCCGGTCAGTCCCAGTCCAGCCCAGTCCCAGTCCCAGCCCAGTCCCGTCCCAGTCCCAGTCCCAGTCCAGTCCAGTCCCAGTCCCAGTCCCAGTCCAGTTCCAGTCCCAGTCCAGTCCAGTCCCAGTCCCAGTCCAGTCCAGCCCCAGTCCCAGTCCCAGTCCCAGTCCAGTTCCAGTCCCAGACCAGTCCAGTCCAGTCCCAGTCCCAGTCCAGTCCCAGTCCAGTCCAGTCCCAGTCCCAGTCCCAGTCCCAGTCCAGTTCCAGTCCCAGTCCAGTCCAGTCCAGTCCCAGTCCCAGTCCCAGTCCGGTCCAGTCCCAGTCCCAGTCCAGTCCAGTCCCAGTCCAGCCCCAGTCCCAGTCCCAGTCCAGTCCAGTCCCAGTCCAGTCCCAGTCCAGTCCAGTCCCAGTCCAGTCCCAGTCCAGCCCCAGTCCCAGTCCAGCCCCAGTCCCAGTCCCAGTCCAGTCCAGTCCCAGTCCCAGCCCAGTCCCAGCCCAGCCCAGGCCCAGCCCAGTCCCAGCCCAGCCCAGGCCCAGCCCAGTCCCAGCCCAGTCCCATCCCAGCCCAGTCCCAGTCCCAGCCCAGCCCAGCCCAGGCCCAGCCCCGTCCCAGACCAGTCCAGTCCAGTCCCAGCCCAGCCCAGTCCCAGCCCAGTCCCAGCCCAGCCCAGGCCCAGTCCCAGTCCAGCCCAGTCCCAGTCCCAGCCCAGTCCCGTCCCAGTCCCAGTCCCAGTCCAGTCCAGTCCCAGTCCCAGTCCAGTTCCAGTCCAGTCCAGTCCCAGTCCAGTCCAGCCCCAGTCCCAGTCCCAGTCCAGTTCCAGTCCCAGTCCAGTCCAGTCCCAGTCCAGTCCCAGTCCCAGTCCCAGTCCAGTCCCAGTCCAGCCCCAGTCCCAGTCCCAGTCCAGTCCAGTCCCAGTCCCAGTCCAGCCCCAGTCCCAGTCCCAGTCCAGTCCAGTCCCAGTCCCAGTCCAGTCCCAGCCCCAGTCCCAGTCCAGTCCCAGTCCCAGTCCAGTCCCAGTCCAGTCCCAGTCCTAGTCCAGTCCCAGTCCAGTCCCAGTCCAGTCCAGTCCCAGTCCAGTCCCAGTCCCAGTCCAGTCCCAGTCCAGCCCCAGTCCAGTCCCAGTCCAGTCCCAGTCCAGTCCAAGTCCTAGTCCAGTCCCAGTCCAGTCCCAGTCCCAGTCCAGTCCAGTCCCAGTCCCAGTCCCAGTCCAGTTCCAGTCCCAGTCCAGTCCCAGCCCCAGTCCCAGTCCCAGCCCAGTCCCAGCCCAGTCCCAGTCCAGTCTCAGTCCCAGTCCCAGTCCCAGTCCAGTCCCAGTCCAGTCCAGTCCCAGTCCAGTCCCAGTCCCAGTCCAGTCCCAGTCCAGCCCCAGTCCAGTCCCAGTCCAGTCCCAGTCCCAGTCCCAGTCCAGTCCAGTCCAGTCCCAGTCCCAGTCCAGTCCCAGTCCCAGTCCCAGTCCAGTTCCAGTCCCAGTCCAGCCCCAGCCCCAGTCCCAGTCCCAGTCCCAGCCCAGTCCCAGCCCAGTCCCAGTCCAGTCTCAGTCCCAGTCCCAGTCCAGTCCAGTCCAGTCCAGTACAGTCCCAGTCCAGTCCATTCCCAGTCCAGTCCCAGTCCCAGTCCCAGTCCAGCCCCAGTCCCAGTCCAGCCCCAGTCCCAGTCCAGTCCAGTCCAGTCCCAGTCCAGTCCCAGTCCCAGTCCAGTCCCAGTCCAGTCCAGTCCCAGTCCCAGTCCAGTCCCAGTCCTAGTCAGTCCCAGTCCAGTCCCAGTCCCAGTCCAGTCCCAGTCCCAGTCCAGTCCTAGTCCAGTCCCAGTCCAGTCCCAGTCCCAGTCCCAGTCCAGCCCCAGTCCCAGTCCCAGTCCCAGTCCAGTCCCAGTCCAGTCCAGTCCCAGTCCTAGTCCAGTCCCAGTCCAGTCCAGCCCCAGTCCCAGTCCAGTCCCAGTCCAGTCCAGTCCAGTCCCAGTCCAGTCCCAGTCCTAGTCCAGTCCCAGTCCAGTCCAGCCCCAGTCCCAGTCCAGTCCCAGTCCCAGTCCCAGTCCAGTCCCAGTCCAGTCCCAGTCCAGTCCAGTCCAGTCCCAGTCCAAGTCCAGTCCAGTCCCAGTCCAGTCCAGTCCAGTCCCAGTCCAGTCCCAGTCCTAGTCCAGTCCCAGTCCAGTCCAGCCCCAGTCCCAGTCCAGTCCCAGTCCCAGTCCCAGTCCAGTCCCAGTCCAGTCCCAGTCCAGTCCAGTCCAGTCCCAGTCCAAGTCCAGTCCAGTCCCAGTCCAGCCCCAGTCCCAGTCCCAGTCCAGCCCCAGTCCCAGTCCAGCCCCAGTCCCAGTCCAGTCCAGTCCAGTCCCAGTCCAGTCCCAGTCCCAGTCCAGTCCCAGTCCAGTCCAGTCCCAGTCCCAGTCCAGTCCCAGTCCTAGTCAGTCCCAGTCCAGTCCCAGTCCCAGTCCAGTCCCAGTCCCAGTCCAGTCCTAGTCCAGTCCCAGTCCAGTCCCAGTCCCAGTCCCAGTCCAGCCCCAGTCCCAGTCCCAGTCCCAGTCCAGTCCCAGTCCAGTCCAGTCCCAGTCCTAGTCCAGTCCCAGTCCAGTCCAGCCCCAGTCCCAGTCCCAGTCCCAGTCCAGCCCCAGTCCCAGTCCCAGTCCCAGTCCAGTCCCAGTCCAGTCCAGTCCCAGTCCTAGTCCAGTCCCAGTCCAGTCCAGCCCCAGTCCCAGTCCAGTCCCAGTCCAGTCCAGTCCAGTCCCAGTCCAGTCCCAGTCCTAGTCCAGTCCCAGTCCAGTCCAGCCCCAGTCCCAGTCCAGTCCCAGTCCCAGTCCCAGTCCAGTCCCAGTCCAGTCCCAGTCCAGTCCAGTCCAGTCCCAGTCCAAGTCCAGTCCAGTCCCAGTCCAGTCCAGTCCAGTCCAGTCTCAGTCCAGCCCCAGTCCCAGTCCCAGTCCAGTCCCAGTCCAGTCCCAGTCCTAGTCCAGTCCCAGTCCAGTTCCAGTCCAGTCCAGTCCCAGTCCAGCCCCAGTCCAGCCCCAGTCCCAGTCCCAGTCCCAGTCCAGCCCCAGTCCCAGTCCCAGTCCAGTTCCAGTTCCAGTCCCAGCCCAGTCCCAGCCCAGTCCCAGTCCAGTCCCAGTCCCAGTCCCAGTCCCAGTCCAGTCCCAGTTCCAGTCCAGTCCCAGTCCAGTCCCAGTCCAGTCCAGTCCAGTCCCAGTCCAAGTCCAGTCCAGTCCCAGTCCAGTCCCAGTCCAGTCCCAGTCCAGTCCAGTCCAGTCTCAGTCCAGCCCCAGTCCCAGTCCCAGTCCAGTTCCAGTCCAGTCCCAGTCCTAGTCCAGTCCCAGTCCAGTCCCAGTCCAGTCCAGTCCCAGTCCAGCCCCAGTCCAGCCCCAGTCCCAGTCCCAGTCCCAGTCCAGCCCCAGTCCCAGTCCCAGTCCAGTTCCAGTTCCAGTCCCAGCCCAGTCCCAGCCCAGTCCCAGTCCAGTCCCAGTCCCAGTCCCAATCCCAGTCCAGTCCCAGTTCCAGTCCAGTCCCAGTCCCAGTCCCAGTCCAGTCCCAGTCCAGTCCAGTCCAGTCCCAGTCCAAGTCCAGTCCAGTCCCAGTCCAGTCCCAGTCCAGTCCAGTCCAGTCCAGTCCCAGTCCAGTCCCAGTCCAGTCCCAGTCCAAGTCCCAGTTCCAGTCCAGTCCCAGGCCATCCTAGTCCCAGTCCAGTCCCAGCCCCACTCCAGTCCCAGTCCCTGTTTAGTCCAGTCCAGTCCCAGTCCAGTCCAGTCCCAGTCCAGTCCCAGTCCCAGTCCAGCCCCAGCCCCAGTCCCAGTCCCAGTCCCAGTCCAGCCCCAGTCCCAGTCCCAGTCCCAGTCCCAGTCCAGTCCCAGTCCAGTCCCAGTCCAGTCCCAGTCCCAGTCCAGTCCCAGTCCAGTCCAGTCCAGTCCCAGTCCCTGTGGAGGGTGCGGCTGGGGGGGCGTACCTCGTAGACGTGGTAGAGGTTGGAGCCCGCGTCGGGCCAGTAGTGGTAGCACTGCCGGACGCCGTTCTCGGCCAGCGGGGCCAGCATGACGAGGACCACGCAGCCGCTCTCCCACACCATCTGCGGAGGAAGGCCGTGAGGCTCCGGCCGGCGCGGCCCCCACGCGCGCTCTGTGCTTGCGGAGCCCGCGTCCAGGTTCTGCACGGCCCATGCACCAGTAACAGAACCGGCAGCTCTGTGCCTCCGAGAACCCCTTCCCTCTGCCGCAGCCGCCAGGCTCCGGCACAGACTCAGAGGGAAACTGAGCACCAGCGAATGCACCAGTAAGCGCATCAGGAACAACAAATCCGTTTCTCTTTCTAAAATCAATTGAAAAATCCAAAACGCATTATAGAAAATCCACAAAGAGAAACTATCATTTGAGCGCCATCTTTATCTTTATAAGATTAAACAATAGATAAGAGACCTTTTAATAAAATAAAATACTGATTAATTTCATTTCAAAAAGTGAAATTGTAAAGTGGCTTTTAAAGCATTAAATCTCTTGAAGGGATTTTTTTTCAGACTCAGTTTTGTAAACCTGATTGATCATAAACACGTTAAAGGCACTTGGCCGGTGGAGCAGTGGTTAGAGCGCCTGCCGCAGACGGAAGAGCTGCAGACTCAGTCCTGGCCCTGGTCCGGGCACGTGGGGGAGGCAACCAGTCACGTTGTCGTTCTCACATGATGTTTCCTCTCTCTCTCCCTCCCTCCCTCCCTTCTTCTCTTAAAAAAAAAATCAATGGAAAAAATGTCCTAGGTGAGGATTACAAAAAATATATATCTGAAAGGCCCCCAATAAATTCTGAAATCATGTAACATTTGACAAACCTTTGATTGGCTTACGTTCAGTAAGCTCAATTCACAACCGGCAGGAGTTGACTTTCAGAAAAGAATGGAACCAAGAGAGTCACCTGCCAGAAGTCGGCCACGGTGGCGGGCAGCGGTCCTTGGGCGGCAATGTACGCGGGGCTCCTGGGGTCGTGGTCCATCTGTAAGACACTCACAGCGATTAGCGAGAGCGGCCACGCGGGAAGTCACACATCGGGCGCACCTGCACCTGACTGCTGCGCAGGGGACGGCCCTCGCCGGTTTGGCTGAGTGGAAAGAGCGCTGACTGAGGGCCCTGGGCTCGATTCTGGTCACAGGCACATACCTGGGTCGCAGGCTCCCATTTCCCCCATCAGGGAGTGTGAGTAGAGGCATCCATTGATGTCTCTCTCTCTCTCTCTGTCTCCCCCCTCTCGTCCCCTCTCTACAGGTCAATGAGAGGTATCCTCAGCTGAGGATTAAAAAGAAAAAGTGAGGCCGACGCCAAGTGATGAACCTGCTACCCAGGCTGGCCCACAGGGGGACCGCCGGCAGGGCCTTTCCAAGGACCCGGAGGGGCTGGCATGAGCAGGGTGAGCGCCTGCAAGTCCACAGCGTGTGCAGAGCCAGGGCCCAGGGGCCGGGTGAGGCGGTGGCCCGGCGGAGCCCTCCCGGGGAAGCCTTCATGAGCCGCAGTGCTTCTGCCTCGGAGAGCGTCACCCCCTGGCACTTGTTTTTATTTTTTATTTTAATGCACAATTTTTTTAAATTTTGTTGTTGCTTTTTTAAAAAAACAAATCTTTATTGTTCATGTTATTACAAATGTTCCTCATTCTCCCCCCCCTCCCATTGCTCCCCTCCACCAGGTTCCCACCCCACCCTCTGCCCTTTCCCCACCCCCCATTGTCCTCATCCATAGGTGCACAGTCTATGTTCAGTCTCTTCCCACACCCCCCACTCCCCTTTCCCCCCAAGAATCGTTAGTTCACTCCCCTTCCATACCTCTGATTCTATTATATTCAACAGTTAATATTGTTCATCAGGTTTTTTAATTTCTTTTAGATTCATTTGTTGATAGTTACATATTTGTTGTTCATAATTTTTATCTTTATTTTTTTCCTCTTCCTAAAGAAGCATCTTCAGCAATTCATATAATTCTGGTTTGGCGGTGATGAACTCCTTTAGCTTTTTATTTTTTATTTTTTTTTATTTGTGAAGTTCTTTATCTGACCTTTGATTCTGAGTGATAGCTTTGCTGGATAGAGTATTTTTGGCTGTAGGTTCTTACTATTCATCACCTTGAATATTTCTTGCCATTCCCGTCTGGCCTGAATGGTTTCTGTTGAGAAATCAGCTGACAATCATATGGGTGCTCTTATAGGTAACTACCTGCTTTTCTCTTGCTGCTTTTAATATTCTGCTGCTTTTAATTTTAATAAAATATCCAATATTTTAATATTGGACTGGACTGGGACTGGGACTGGAAGCTGAGGCGGTGGGCTGGCTGTGGGGACCCGGCAGTGAGGAGTCACGGGGTGACAGAGGCCCCTTCCCTGCACCCTCCAGACACCCAGGTGCCAGGCGCGGCTGAGTCCCCGTTTCCCGAGTGCATCGGGCACCAGCGGGCCTAGGAAAGGGCAACCTTCAGGCTGGTCACCGACCCCTGCCCAGGGCACAGCCGTGGCTCAGTGGGGAAGCTGGTTACTTCGCTGAGACTAGTGACCTGGCCGAGACTAGTGACCTCGATAGGGCTAGTTACTTGTTGGGACTAAGAACCCAGTTGAGACTAGTTAACTAGTTAAGGCTGGTTTCTGGTTGAGGCTAGTAACCTAGTAGAGACTAGTTATCTGGTTAAAGCTAACCGGTTGAAACTAGTTCCCAGTTGAAACTAGTTACCTGGCTAAGATTGGTTGCCTGGTATAGACAGTTATCTGACTAAGGCTGTTCCTGTTTGAGGCTAGTTACCCAGCTGAGGCTGATTCTCAGCTCTCTGCTGGAGCAGGCAGCATGTTTCCCTGCCATCCTCACGTGGCTCGCCCACATGCGCCTTGGGAAAGGCTGGCGGCCTCGGGGGACGGTACTTACGATGGGGCTGGCGTTGATGTAGTCCGAGTTGCTGTGGCTGTTTTCCGGCTTCAGCAGGACCCGGGAATGGTCGTCTGCAAAGGCCAGAGCAGAGTCAGGTCTGTGCCGCCCACACCGCTGGCAGTGCACCGGCGGTGCCCATGTGCCCAGTGGCTGCCTGCAGGCGGCGCCCCCCAAGTGCTCAGCCCTTCCCCGGACTCAGGGCGACCCGCCCCTGCTCCCCCTCACTCCCCTCACCATCCGTGGAGGAGGACCTGACACTGTGTCCCAGTTGGTACAATCTGGAGAGACTGTTTTTATGTAAAGTTCCCACACCACGGTTATCTGCGCTGTTTACATAGAGTTTACCTTTAAACAAGTTTGGCAACAGAGCGAGTCAGTATCGACATGCAGAGGAAGCTATTAGGCCTCAAGCTTTGTCGTCTACAAGCAGCCAAATCCTGAGGTGACAGCAACTTCATTTTAAAAGGCGACTAAGAGGGAAGGGAAATGCGGATCCAGCAGGAACCGGGCAGAGTGTGCAGGGGCCTCCCTGACACAAACACCGGAAACGGGCAAAGCGCTGTCATCCAGCTGGACCCAGAGCCGCGGTGCAGGCCTGTGACCTCGCCAGTGCGTCACCGCTGTGCACAGTGAGGCCCTCGTGGCCCTTCCCAGGAACTTTCCAAGGAGACCTGTGGGGCAGGAGCAGGGCCGCCGGGAGCCGGTGGGTCACTGGGTCCGCCCTCTCCTTCCAGCCCCCGGGCTCCGCAGCCACCAGGCTGTCCCTCCCGCAGGTGCATCGGAGCAGAGCACTGGCGCGAGGGCGCGATGGCACGCGAGCTGCAGCCTTCCGCCCGGCTGGCGGCTGAGCACCCAGCCGCCTCTGAGAGACGCAGGCCGAGCACCCGGCCTCCTCTGAGAGACGCAGGCCGAGCACCCGCCCGCCTCTGAGAGACACAGGCCGAGCACCCGCCCGCCTCTGAGAGACGCAGGCCGAGCACCCGCCCGCCTCTGAGAGACGCAGGCCGAGCACCCGCCCGCCTCTGAGAGACCCAGGCCGAGCACCCGCCTGCCTCTGAGACGAGGCCGGCGCAGGAAGCAGCTCACTACGGGCCGCGGCTGTGGTCTGTGTCCCGTCCCTGGGATGTCACCGAGTTTCCAGTAATAGCTCTGGAGCCTGAGACGCTGGGGGCCTGGAACTGCCGACTTCGGGAGGGAGGTCTGTTGGCCTGGAGGCCGCCCTCCTGCTCTCGTTAGGATGGTGAGACAGGACGGATTGGAACGCCCGGAGCGGCGGGTAGAGGTGTCTGAGCGTGCACCCAGGGGTGCCGCGTGCTCAGCGGATGTGCAGTGGCAGCTGCCAACACACAGGCAATGACGCCCCCCCCCCCCCCCCCCCCCGGGACAGTGCTTTGGGCGCCCGCACACATTTATTCTAGAGAGAACGACAACGGGCAGGAAGTGGAAATAATGTTCACCAGAAAAACTGGGCAACTCTTGCCACCCTACTGTGTGGTAAACACGACCTCCAAAGCTAAGGTCAAGTGGACACACCGGCCTAAGATGGGATGGCGGTTCAGAAACAGGCACCCTTTGTAGCAGGGCCTGGGGTCCCGACCTGGGGCTCCGGCCTGGGGTCCCGGCCTGGGGTCCCTGCCTGGGGCTCCGGCCTTTGGCTCGGCCTGGGGTCCCAGCCTGGGGCTCCGGCCTGGGGCTCCGGCCTGGGGCTCCGGCCTGGGGTCCCGGCCTGGGGCTCCGGCCTGGGGTCCCGGCCTTTGGCTCCGGCCTGGGGTCCCGGCCTTTGGCTCCGGCCTGGGGTCCCGGCCTTTGGCTCCGGCCTGGGGTCCCGGCCTTTGGCCCCGGCCTGGGGTCCCGGCCTTTGGCTCCGGCCTGGGGTCCCGGCCTACGCAGTGCTAGCTGCTTCGGGGGATCAGGGGTCTCCTGGGAGACCCCCGGGGCTTTAAAATGTCAGAGTTCCAGGCCTACCCGTCGCAGCCAGGCTCTGTGAGGTAGCAGGGGCTTGTTCAGTTTCTGGCATTAGCCCCGGACCTGCTTGGAAACGCCTGGTGCCTGCAGAGTGGCGAGGCCGGCCCAGAGCAGCGGCCCGAGGCGGTGGGAGAGCTTTCGGCTCAGCTGGCGCCTGCGAGGCTCACTCTCCCTGCTCACTGTGCTGTTGCTGTTTTTATCTTCATGTGAGGGCACTTTTCTCCATTGCTTTTCAGGGAGGGAGGGGGCGAGAGAGCAACACTGAGGTGTGAGAGAAACATCGATGTGAGAGACATTGACTGGTTGTCTCCAGCTTGTGCCCTGAAGAGGGGCAGGAATGAACCTGAAACCCTGGTATGTGCCCTTGACCGGAATGGAACCTGAGAGCCTTCCGTACGGGGGTTCGATGCGGGGGTTGGGGGGGCTAACCACTGAGCAGCACCAGCCATCATTTTTGAGGTGATGTCCCTGGAGCCAGCGTGATGACATCGGGCTCTGACTCGGCACCCTTGTCCTCTGTGACGGGGCAGAGGGCGGCCTGGCGGGTGGTGAGCTGAGGGGCAGTGGCTCCTCGCCCTCTGGCCTGGGCTCCGCAGGCTGGATCCTGTGCCTTCACGCTCTCACACCTGCGCCGGGAGCACACAGCCCACGGCCAACCGGAGCAGGAAGGTGTGGCCAGGGCGCCGGGCCGCTGGGCAACTTCTCCAAGGACTCCCTCCGACGCCACGGAACCGGGACACGGATGTCCAGCTGGTTCCCGGCCGTGACCAAGGCCGCCTCCAACAGGAGCCGCAGTGCAACTGTCGTTTTAGAACTCGTTCACCCCCGTGGCCACCCCGTCCTGCTACCCCCGTGGGTGGCCATCCCATCCCATTACCCCCGTGGGTGGCCACCCCGTCCCGTTACCCCCGTGGGTGGCCACCCCGTCCCGTTACCCCCGTGGGTGGCCACCCCGTCCCATTACCCCCGTGGGTGGCCATCCTGTCCCGTTACCCCCGTGGCCATCCCGTCCTGCTACCCCTGTGGGTGGCCACCCCGTTCCGTTACCCCCGTGGGTGGCCACCCCGTCCCCTTCGTTCACCCCCGTGGCCATCCTGTCCCATTTCAGGGCGATGCCCGCTCCCTCCTTCCGCCGGCTCAGGTCGCCTCGCAGTGTGCCCTGCCCTGGTTTCGGGTGAGCTCCTTTCAGCATCTGTGAGAGGCCGGCCTGGGGTGGCCTCGGGTTCTAAGAGACAGCGCTATCAGCCAACGCCATGCAGGAGCTTGCCGGAGGCTGCAGGCATCAGCTTTGCCAAGCGGGAAGGGAAGATGCTTATCAAGAAAGGACGTGAGCCCTGGCAGGTGTGGCTCAGTGGCTGGTGTCGTCTCCAGTACCACGGGGTCAAAGGTTCAGTTCTTGGCCAAGGGCGTGGACCTGGGTTAAGCTCGATCCCTTATAGGGGGCATGCGGAGTGACCAATCCATGTTTTCTCTTGTTGACTCTTCTCTCTCTCCCTCCCCCGCTCTCAACAAAAATACATTCTTTAAAAAAGAAGCTTGAACGAACTCCTGAGCACTCACACCGCACAACGCCTGCTGCAAGAACAGCGCTTCCAATTTCTCCTGCTCGGTCTGTTCCAAACGGCACTCACACAGGCCCGTTCCTCCCGCCGCCCCGGGCCAGACAGGACGGGTGCTCTCCCATGTGGCCGAGACCCTGAGGCCAGCAGCACCTGGGTGACGGGCAGAGCCGCATGCCAGCGGCCAGGAGCCAGGCCTGCGGTCCAGTCTGCACCTGCAGCGGGGTGTCTGGTCAGCTAGGCAATATTTTAAAGCGTCCGACTTGTCATCCAAAGTGCGGGGCACTGACGTGGCACTCACAGGCGTGTCGCGGCCAGAGGTGTTTGTAAACAGCATTGCGATCGTGTAGCAAGGGGCTCCCGGACAGTCAGCACCGCAGGTGCACACGCCTGAGGTGAAAAGCCTGCAGAACTGACGACACGTCTAGGACAGTGGACACAGACATTGTCACGAAGTAGAGATATTTTCATAAACGCCAACAGGAGACGCTGTGTGCTGAGGGGCCACTGGGCCTGTGGGGGGCGCTGCAGCTCGGCTGGCGGGTCCGTGCCGGCATGGCTTGTCCAGGCCTGTCCCACGCGCCACACGAGCTGCCAGAGCCACCCGAGAGGGCGCTCCCTCCGTGGCCGCCGGTACCAAGGATCTCTGCGGACGGTTCCCACAGCGGGCTGACTCACTGCCAGGGCACGGCGGCGCCAGGAAGGCCTGGTGTGCGGAGGCGGAGGGGTCCGCGGGGTCATGGCCGTCCAGGTGCCAGCCCTCTGTGATTTAGACGAAACCATCATGCTGGGCGGACGCCGCTGCCCGTGCCTTGCAGCTGTGGCCGTGGAGGTGAGTGTGTGTCGGGGCCAGGCCGGCGTGTCTGGAGGGTCAGCGCCGAGTCGCTCATGTAGACTGTGCCCCGGGATGAGCCCACGGCCTCGGGGCCGCCGTTCCTGCGTGGGCATCGCAGGCCCAGGGCGGCTTCTGCCCTGTAAACCCACAGCCGAGCTCCCGCCCCACCGGCTCCGGGGCGAGGCCGACGGCGGCCTGGGGGACGTCCGCCAACACACAGACCTGCCTTACTGCCGGGCTTGTCGTTGATGCAGAGCAACACATTCAAAAATGTGTTTCTTAATTGTTTTTAGAGAGGAAGGGAGAGGGGGAGAAACATCGGTTGCCTATCGCAGACACTCGGGCTGGGACCCAACCCGAAAGTTGGGCCCGGCAGGGAGCCCAGACCGGCAAACACACACTCACACACACTATTAAACATACACTCCCACCCTCACACCCACACTCCCACCCTCACATACACACATGCAAACTCACTCACACACACACACACACACACTCACTCTACCCCCCAACATACACACGCACACCAACAAAAACGGCCCACGGCCCAGGAGCGTTGTGTGTGGTGACGATCAGCTGTGGCTCAGTGAGTGAGTGCGGTGTCAGCACGGGGAGTGCGGCTGTGCCGAGCAGCTGTGCCGAGCGCCATTTCTCCTCTGCACGGGGCTCCGGGAGGCCCACACGGTCCTGCGCCAGGCCCTCTGGTCAGGAGGGCGCCCTGCACTGCCATGGAGACAGCTCAGGCCGCCCAGGGGTGGGGAAGGGACGCTGCGGCGGCATTGCTCTTGGCGCCTGGTGGCTGCACCTGGCCAGCACCCGCAGGCGCCAGGGCCTCGAGGATGCAGAGCCCGGCTGCCTGCCGGGACGGCCACCTCGGTCCTCCCCGCCCGCCCCAGGTTACTCTGTCAGGGTTTTGTCAATGGCTTGAAGGTGTAGCTGAGCTTATAGAATGTGTGGATGGAGAGCATGGAGCGGGAGGATCCGGGAACTGGGGATGAAAACCTCCCAGAGAGCGCACGGCAGGGCGGCAGGGCGCAGGGCGGCGCAGGCCCACGTCGGGCTCACAGCAGGAAGACCCACGTTCTCAAGCCAGCGTGGCCTGCCCACAGCAAACTCCCACCGCCAGGCGAGGGGCCCGTGAGGGAGGGACTGCCTGAGGCCGCGGGGGGGGGGGTGTCCCCATGCTGGCCCCACCCGCTCACTCCAAGGCTCTCCCGTGTGGACGTGGCAGACACGCCAGCATGAGAGACGCCCCCAGGTCCCCGCTCGGCGGGTGGGGTCCTCCTGGTGGTTTCCCTCCAGCCGGAGGAGGGGGCTGTGAGCGGAGGAGGGATGGCCTGTGCTCGGGACCCTTTATCCACCCCACCCAGCCGTGTGGACTCTCTGCCCCCCCGCACCCCCCAGAGGGCTGCTCCTCACGCCCCACGGCGGGCTGCCGGACTGGTCAGCACGGCGGCCTTTCGACTCGCAGGAAGGAGGCGGCCCCTGTTCGAGGCTCTGGCTCTGGCCTGGTCCCTGAGTCCAGCTGGGCCTGGTCCCTGTGTGCGAGGACCCTGCAGCCTGCACAGCGCCAGGGGCTGTACCGCCCTGGGCCCTGGCGTCTGGCTCCACGGGGAGGTGCCGGGAAGGGCTCGGGGCTGACAGCACCACCGCACTGCCAGCCCAGCCGCACCTGACCCGGCGACTTGCGGCGAGCGCCCCCGAGATCTGCTTCTTCCCAACTGCCCTCCGCCCGGGTCCGAGGACAGGCTCACGGAGTCTGTCACCATCCCTGGCACACAGTAGGTCTTAATAAATAGCCGTTGGCGGGCTTTTCTTTCTGCTTTTCCACTGTCAGTGGTTCCTGGCCAGGTAGCGTCCACAGGGGATGCTGCCCACGGCCGGCACCACGCCATCCCCTCCAGCCCTCACAGTGCCTTGTTGCCGGGGCGACCGATGCTCCCGCTGCCGAGGACCAGGCTGTGAGGGGACCCACGGCACCAGGACAGCCGCCCGGCAGCGCCGGCAGCCAGCGCCGCTGACTCACTGGGGCTTTAGGACTGTGCGGACCCCAGGACAGAGACCGGGCTCTGATTTTAGGCTGGGACGGCCTCACGGGGAGCCACACTGCTGTTCAGTGGGGTCAGGCTGCCGCAGGGAGGACGCTGGGGGGCGGGGGTGGGGGAGGGGGCTTCCCGGCGTGAGACTGACACGGGGACCGCCAGCCCGCCCCTCCCGGCGCCCGGTACGCACAGGCCAGCACCGCCGGGCAGCGGTTCTTGGGCGCGTTCTCCTCCCGCTGGGCCACGAGCGTGCTGCTGGGCTCCGCCTGGTACGCGCACAGCGCCTCCCACTCCTGCTCCAGCCGGTTCTTGTTCCTCAGGTGGTCCTCCATGTAGGCCTGCAACGGGAACAGCGTCAGGGCGCGGCCCACACCCTGTGCACAGCAGGGCGCCCGCCCCCGGAGCCCTGGCCTTCGGGAGGGGGCCGGGCTGCGGGCCCAGAGGGCTCTGTCCGTGCGGACACGCTGGGCGCTGTGCAGACTCAGCCCAGGACGCCCCCCTCGCTGCCAGGACAGGACCGGAGAGCCCGGCCGGGGTCCGAGGGCGGGCCGGGAGCAGGCGTGGGCCCGGAGCCAGCGCAGTCGGGGGTCTGGAGGGCTGGCGGGTGTCGGAGGTTTGGGAGGTCTGGGCTCCGAACGGGAGCAGGTGCTGGGAGGGGCGGATACTGCTGCACAGAACAGCCGTGTCCCGGGACACCGGGAGGCTCAGGAGCCGGGATCACCTGCCGCGCTGCGGGCCCGGAACACGCCTCGGCAAACGTTGGAGGTGAAGCCACTTTCTTTTCCCAGGAGCCACCGTGTGCAGGACCCGGTGCCACAGTGTGATCTCGATCGAGCCCAGGCCCAAATGTGTGCACGGTCCCTCCCTTCCCCTGCGCCCGCCCCTGTCCAGCTCCCGGCAAACTCCTGGTCGAGGGACAATGTGCGGGCTCTGCTTTCATTATACACGCTTGCTCCTGAGAGTACACGCACTGCCTGCCTATTTCATGTGTCCACTCGGAGCATGCTGAGGCCGTTCGCTCAGAGCGCACCGCAGGGAGGAGCGGGTGGCAGGGACCCCCACAACGTGGCATTGCCCGAGCGGGGGCTGTGGGCAGGCGCGGGCCCCTCAGTGCCTACATGAGCCCTGGCCTTAGTCCAAATGACCTGGACTCTACACCCCAATAAGACCTTCCCCATTGGACTCCCCCCCCCCCCAGTCATCCCACCCTCTGCACCTGGTTCATGCTGATCCCCCTTAATGACTCTGTCCAAAGGTCAAGTGCCAGCGAGCCTTCTCTCAAGTCTGACCAGGACATGCCTGTCGACACCGGTCTGATCTGCCTTACCGACAACCCCCAGCTCAGTCACTTACTGTTATTTTATTTACTTATTATTATTATTTTAAATATATTTCATTGATTCTTCACAGAGAGGAAGGGAGAGGGAGAGAGAGCCAGAAACATCGATGAGAGAGAAATATCAATCAGCTGCCTCCTGTACACCCCTCACTGGGGATGTGCCCGCAACCAAGGTACATGCCCTTGACTGGAATCAAACCTGGGACCTTTGAGTCCTCAGGTCAACGCTCCATTCATTGAGCCAAACCGGTTAGGGCTATTATTATTTTTGTTAACCCTCACCTGAGGAAATTTTTTTATTGATTCTTTTTAGAGAGAGTGGATGGGAAGGAGGAAGAGACAGAGAGAGAGAGAGGGAGAGAGAAACATTGATGAGAGAGACACTTTGATGGTTGCTTCCTGCAATGCCCAACCTAGGCCAGGGATTGGACCTGCAACTGGACCCTTGAGCAGGAATCAAACCCTTGGTCCTTTGGTGAGCAGGCCACTGCTCTAACCAATGAGTGACTAGCCACTTACTGTTTTATTGATTTTTAAAATCTTTATTGTTGAGATTACTGCAGATGTTCCTCTTTTCCCCCCATTACCCTCCCTCCACCCAGTTCCTACCCTGCCCCAGGCCTTTACCACCCTATTGTCTATGTCCATGTCCATGGGTAACATGTATGTATGTAAGTTCTTTGTTAACCTGTTCCACCGCCCCCCTCCCCCTCCTGAGATTCATCAGTCACCTGTTCCAGGTTTCTATGACTCTGGATCTATTTTATTCATGTGACTAGAGGCCCGATGCATGGATCTGTGCACCGGTGGGGTCCCTCTGTGTTGCCTGTGGGGATCAGGCTGGGAAAGGAATCCGACATCCCGAGTGACACAGAAGTGCGTGAAGCCGGCCAGGGAGGAGCCGCTCCCTCTCATTCCCGTCAGCGGGGCGTCTGCCTTTGTCTTCCGCCACCACTGCCCTTGCATCTCCTGTCTGCTGCACCCCGCTATGGAGAAGTGGGTCCTTAGGGCAGTGCTCCCATGGCCTCACTAGGGAGGCGTGGAGAAGTGGGGTGAGTGCCTGAGGGGTACCCTGGGCAGATCAGGGAGTCATGGCATCTGTGTGGCAAGGCACTTTATGCCCTTCCGGCAAGTTCTGGGCTGGCTCCGGTCTGATAGGAGGGGGCAGGCTCTGGGGATGGAGTTCATGGTCTCTTTTTTCCTTCCCTCTGTCCCTTGGGGAGGACGTGGCGGAAGGGTTGACAGGGGTCAGGGGTCGGGGGCGCCACACTTCCGGAGCGGTGCCTGGGCAGCGGTGGAGTTTGGCCGATGGCCCAGCCTCCCCATGCGAAATGCAGCAGATCCCCACCTGTCTGTGATCTTTCATAGATTCAGTCGCCTGTTTCTCTCTTCGTCTAAGTCGGTCCGTGCACGTCACAGATATATAGGTTTTATATAGATAGATTCCTTGTTTTGTTCATTAGGTTTCTTGTTCCTTTATTTTGACTTAGATTCAACTGAAATGTATTTATTGCCATATTGTTAATATTTTTTTGTGTGTGTTCATATTTTTTTTTATCTTTCTTCCTTCTCCTCCTCCTTCTCCCCCTTCACGTCTTCCTCATTCTCTTCTTCCTTCTCCTTCTCCTTCTTTCTCTTCTTAAAAGAGACCTTTCAACATTTCACATAATACTGGTTTGGTGATGATGAACTCGCTATTAGCCTTTCCTTTTTAAAAAAATTCTTTATTGATTAAAGTATTAAATGTGTCTCCCCCCGCCCCCCATTGATCTCTCCCAGCCATACCTATCCTCTCCTTCAGCTTTTTCTTGTCTGTGAAGCACTCTCTGACCTTCAATTCTAAGTGAGTGCTTTGCTGGGTAATCTTTGTTATAGATCCTTGCTGTTTATAGCTTTGAATATTTCTTGCCACTCCCTTCTGGCTTGCAAAATTTCTGTTGAGCTGACAATCATATGGGCACTTCCTTATAAGTCATTAACTGTTTTTCTTTTGCTGCTTTTACGATTCTCTCTTTGTCTTTAATCCTTGGCATTTCAATTATGATGTGTCTTGGTGTGGGCCTCTTTGGGTTCCTCTTATTTGGAACTCTCTGTGCTTCTTGGACTTTGAAGTCTATTTCTTTTACCAGGTAGGGGAAGTTTTGTCATTATTTTTTCAAATAGGGTTTCAATACCTTATTCTCTCTCTTCCTCTTCAGGCACCCCCATAAGGTATATGTTGCTTGAAGTTGTCCCAGAGGTTCCTTATTCTATCTTTATATTTTTGGATTCTTTTTTCTTTCTTTCTTTCTTTCTTTCTTTCTTTCTTTCTTTCTTTCTTTCTTTCTTTCTTTCTTTCTTTCTTTTTTTTTTTTAACATATCGGTACAGTTATTTCTTTAAAAAAAATATATATATATATATGTATGTATATATTAATTATTGATTTTTTTACAGAGCGAAAGAGATAGGGATAGAGAGTTAGAAATATCAGTGAGAGAGAAACAGCAATCAGCTGCCTCCTGCATGCCCCCCACTGGGGATGTGCCCACAACCAAAATACATGCCCTTGACCGGAATCGACCTGGGACCCGTCAGTCCACAAGTTGATGCTCTATCCACTGAGTCACACCAGTTAGGGCTGGATTCTTTTTTCTTTTTGATCTTCTGGTTGGGTGTTTTTTGCTTCCTCATATTACAAACCATTGATTTGATTCTTGAAATCCTCTATTCTACTGTTGGTTCCCTGTATATTATTCTTCATTTCAGTTAGTGTATCCTCCATTTTTGACTGGTCCTTTTTCACGACATTGATGTTCTCACTAAGATCCTTAAAATTATCACTAAGATCTTTAAAGTCTCACTAAGTCCCCTAAAGCTCTCATTAAGTTCCTTGAGCATCCTTATAACCATTGCTTTGAACTCTGTATCAGTAGTTTACTTGCTTTCATTTCATTTAGTTCTTTTCTGGAGATTTCTCCATTTCTTTCATTTGTGTCCACAAATGTTTCTTTGTGCCTACATTTTGGCTACTTCCCTGTGTTTGCTTCTATGTGTTCCTGGAGTTGGTTTGAGTGGCCTTGTGTCGTAGATTTCCTATAGGTTCCAGTGGCTCAGCCTCCCCAGTCACCTGAGCTGGGCCCTAAGTGCACCTCTGTATGGGCTATGAGCATAGTTTTGTTATAGTTCAGCCTTGATTGCTATTGGTGTCAGTGGGAGGAGTTGACCTCCGGGCCAATTGACTATGAGGACCAGCTGTGACTACAGTGGAAGAGCTGCTGTGCAGAAGACACCCTTCTGGAGCAAGCCTTGCTTCTATGGGGCTTTGGTGCTCACTGAGTCTGTCCCTTGAGTGTGTTGCTTGTGAACATGCAGAGTTGTACTCTGGTGTGGTCTGAAGCTGTCCACTGGGTGCACTGCCTCTGGGAGGTGCAAAGTCAGCCTCTGCCTGGGGCCAGCCATCAGGAGCTCCAGAGCGATCTCCGATCTGCCATTCAGATGGAAAAGTTGCTACAAACAGTTTGGGTGAAGCTGCAATTGGGTGGTGCAGGGGTCAGGAGTCACCAGGGCTGAGCGAACAGTGTGAGCCAGGCTGATGGAGTGGCTACTAGTCAGCTCTGTGATGGGAGAGGTCCCAGAATAAGAACAATGACCGCTACCAGCACTTTTGTCTGGAAGAAAGCTGCCCCCTAGTTCCTGCCCCAATGCCAGACAGTCCAGTTCCTCCCTATATATCCCTGGCTCTCTCCAAGCCATTGCCCCAGCACTGGAACTCAGAGGGAGTGGGACCATGTAAGTGGCCCTTTAAAAGGAACTGCTTGGGTATCCAGCAGCCTCTGTGTCACTCAGCCTTAATCCCCACTAGTTTTTACAGCCCAAAGTTAAAGGGACTTCTCTTCCCAGCGCTGGAACCTGGGCTGTGGGTTTGGTGTGGGGCTGGGGCCCCTTGATCCCCACAGGAAGATTCTAGCCACAACACCCCTCTCGATTAAAAACAAGCCATGCACAAAAAGGCAGGCCC